AGCGAGCACTGCTGTGTAACTGCCTCGAGGGTGCTTGACCATTTTAACACGACGTGGTGCGATCATCCCCCTTGTGCGGAGTGAGGGTTCTCCACCCCGCACAACATGATCTACTCGACCACCATTATGGTTACCGCCAAAAAAAAAAAACGGAGGAAAAAAAAAAAAAAACGTGCGGGAGCGGGGGGGGTAAAATATACAGATAATCCGGCATGAACGTCAACAGCGCGCTCTGGAAACAGCGGAAGAGCGCATTGCCATGCAATGAAAAGAGGCTTCCGTCCCTACCGCTTGGCAAGAAAGAAAGTGTACAAAAATAGCGGGGGGAGAATGAAGTTGGTTGGTTTGCATTGACGGGTGGTTCCCCCGCACTCAAAGGACCAGTGTTCCGGATGTTCCCTAATGGGTCATCTGTCACGGTAGCATGAACGGGCGCTAAATACTGAGATTCATTCCGTTTTACGATGGTTTGAGGAGGGCTAGGGTATACCCCAGGGTGTACCTGAATCATTGGCGGAACCCCTTTAGAGCTCCGTCCCAACTCGTGTTTAAGGTGATCGCTCACTGTTAACACGGCCAGTCTCGGAAAAGGAAGCTTGACCCACCGCTAACAAGCAACCAGTCTGTGAGTCGATGCATGAGAGGTAGATCTGGATAGATCTTACCTAGACCCACCTTGCTAGTCGCACCTGGATTAAAACCTCCTGGTTAGACCCACCGGGATTGTATCCCTTTTGCTAGCCCCAACTTGAATCAAATGGTAAGATACCATGAAACTGACTATAAAATGGATGAAACTAATGGAATCCTAGCCAGTGCTTGTTACGCTAACACATGAGTGAACTACCTAAAGCGATAGCGTTATAACCACTGCTACATGGTGGAGGAGTAGCATCTTGCATGTAATCAGAAACCCCTGCTGAGTAGTCGCCGGCGTGATGGGGCGCCTTGATCACACGCGTCCTAACACTTATGTACCCCGGGTGTGGTTCGGCTCTTCGTTTGAAATCTTAACACTTTTTGCCCCGGGTGTTGTATCCTGTGGGCGATGTCTTTGTCCATGCGGGAGTGTAATGTTGTGTCTTGTACGGTTCCTCCGTCCGTATAGTCTTGTCTACATATGGTCTAGAGTATTGTAGGATACCCTCATGTTCACGGTCAAGCAAAACACATGTAACTTGAGATCAGCCAGGTAAAACACGACCATTCGCTCGATTCCGTCACCGCTCGCTACACACAAAAACCAATTTTTGAACTGTAGACTACGTATATCGTTAGCTAACAATGATCAGGTACGATATCCCTGGTGAAAAAACATTTCCCTCCCTGCTCCCCCCCCTTCTTGTCGAACACGTTCGAGTCAAACACAGGGGTTCCCTTGGTTACACCGAAAACCTTCGTTGAATGCTCCTACCTCGTGATGCCAAAATCTGGTTCTGAAAACCCTGAAGGCCCTAGGGTGTCCTGAAATATGTTGCCGGGTCACCTTTTTTGGCCAACCCTACTTGCGGTTTCGACTCACGACCGTTAACGAGGCGTCATGGCAAAAAACACACAAAAAGTCATGGGTCAGAAACGCGCCACGCATGGTGAAAGGCATGCTTCGTACAATACAAGTAGAAAAACTCCACTATGCTCCTTCTGGCGCTTACTCTTCCTCGACCACGCTGCAGGTTGGAGGAAAGGTCACCGCGATGGGAAGTGGTGCCACCAACTTCCAGTACCGAAAGGTCCTCAACCGTGAGAGTGCTAATGCCATAGAGGTAGGTCGACTGCACCGTTTTTCTGTAAATTTGCTGAGCATCTAAACGAGCTCATTGCCCGTCGTTCCTGCGCTTTTTTGCCGCGTTTGATTGCATGACTAACTACTGCAGTTGCTTGGTTAGAAAACGTTCTTGGCGGTGGTACCCCGTCGAGATTTCAATTCGACTTCTTTGAGGAATCACAAACGAACCACATCGAAAGCGCGTCCCTCGATGGGCAGCTTCCTGCTGGCATAGATTACATGCAAAAGAAGCGCAGTTCGTTACTTGCGAATTAAGCAAAACAGTTGCAACGACAGATGAATCGAGCGAAAAACAAGTATAACAAACCCCACCCCACGAACCCATACACCGACAGGTCATTTCCAATATCCCCAGGACTCAATATGTCCCGGGCTGCTACCAGAAAACGCTCCTTTGCTGCTGGAACATGGGCACGTGCAAGTGGTGCAAATGCAACTGTAATTGTTGCATATCCGGGAAGGTGGGAGAGATCGAAGAACACCGGCAAGGGGGGGCAGTTGTGTCGTGTCGTTCTTGGTGCCGCACCAACTCGAATTTCGTACGTCCAACACTTGGATTCGCCGATTGGTATAACAACTACATATCTAAGTGCGAGTAATATATTGCAACACCGTCTCCCGCTACGTGCACGCACCTGCCTTTCATTTTCTCTAACTCTCTTGAGTTCAGGCAAGCGATGACACATCCTGTTCATATTTTCTGCGTTAATTCGAGTTGTCCTACTTCCTCTCTCTCTCTCTCTCTCTCTCTCTGTATACTGCTGCTGCCTCTGTTGCTGGTGCTGGTGGTGCTACAGTACCTCCATGCGAAAGCGGCGGCCGAGGAGAGCACATACACGTGGATAATGGAGAACCGGTTGGAGTACAACGAGTGAGTAAAACAAAAGCAACGCGGTGAGCGGGAGGTGGGGGGCGACAGTTGGTTAGGGGCGGGAAGTGGTTGCGATTCACCTCCTCGGCCCTTGGCATAATCGGCTCTAGACCTCGGGTATATCCGTGGATGGGGGAATGATGCATGTACTGTGACGCACACCGAAGAAAGGATCCCGTGTCATTTTGAGATAATAGTCACCCTCGCACGTCTGCGAGGCGTCACCATTCGCAAAATGTGGCGTCTTGCAGCAGCGGAGGTGGCGGTGCTGCTGTAGCTCGTAGACTTTGTAGTCTACCACAGAGGTTACACTGCTGTCACCGCTCTATCACAGAGGTTGGTCTACACTGCTGTGAGGTCGGTAGGCCCGAGCGAGCTTTGGAAAGAGAAATGTAGATCGATTTTCTTATCAACTGACTCCCTGGTCAGGCTTCGATGGGTGCTAAATGAGAGTGAGCACAAGGGGCGAAGGCGCGCTTGTGTCTCATCTCAACAACAAAAACAAAAACAAAAAACAAGCAGCAAAAACACAGCAGGTTCCGAGGGTCTCCGGGGTATTGGCCCGAGTACCGGAATTTCGGGGTTCGGAACAATAAAACAACTACAGTCTCGCTTGCCAAATTATCTCCGCTACAACTCTGTGCTCATGTTCTCTGCTGAGTACCATCTCTTCTTTCTGTACTATGTCTACGGAAGGCTAGTTGCCGCAGTCGCACCTATGGTAAACTGTGCCTGACTACGTTGTAACAGTTTTCCTCGACAACCATGCGCTATGATCGACTTGTGTTCTTTCAAACCGATGGCGACGAGAAAAGTAAAAATATGTCAGCCTTGACGGCATGGTTTTCACAAGATTGTGCGTTGTGTGGTTAGCTTATTTGTACTCATGAAGCAGCGCTACCCACCTGCCTGTGTGTCTGATCATCATCATCATCGCCCCTGTCAACTGCACACCGCGTGCACACAGAGCGAGGGTAGTTCCCAAGGGGCAGCTGCTCGACTTTTTATGCTGCAACTTTCAGGTCGAAGATACCGCCCGCGTGAAGTACTTCGATAATGACATGTGAGATAGTAGTGCGATAGCGGTGACTCGCATGCTTCATCTTATCCATCATCGGCCGCTACTGCTTGTGTGCCTTACTTCGAGCGACCATGATGTACTGTACTCGATTTCTCTTTTTGCGGAAATCAGAGCCGCCCGTGTGACTACACCCACGCATTGTTTGGTACAGTCTGTGGGTGGCATGGTGTGACTCACTGATATCATCATATTCTATGTTGAAAACCTTTGAGAGTGGTTTTGGGTTCTTTCGTTCAGTAGTTCACCCCACATTTCCATGAGGTAACGTGCGCTTGCATGATCATCGCCGAATTATACTGCAGTGCTAGCAGTCAAACAGACCGTGGATGAAAGCGGTGCTATTCACAAGCAAGGGTCGCACTATCTATCACCCCTACAGTACGGAAAATGCGAGACACTTCAAACTGGGAGTGCACCGCGTGCAGCGATAGCAAAAATGCCGATACCTGGTGAATACCTCGTACCCTTGCTCGTAGTCAAGTAGTCTACAGGCCCCAAATGGCATTCACCCACACGCCCACACCGCTATGCGATACACATCCCAACAAAGCCACGCCCATACGTACAGTACGTACCGCAGACCTGCCCGAGTGCGCTCTAATAATAAATAGCATACTTACTCATAGTCACAACCAGCTGGCGCCGCACTTAATACTCTTTGCAGTCTCCGAATTCAAGTCCAAACGTCGAACCTTACAGGGTGACCTGATGAATTTGTTAAAGGTTCGACTACATCACCGTGGAGGATTCACCGACGGGCTGCTCTCGCTGGTGCTGCGGCACGCCTGGTGACGCAATCGTATTCAAGACGGCTTGTTGCCTCTGTCGCACAGCCAAATACTGTGGGATCGAGAAACATCGCATCAACGTGAAGACCGGCGACGGGAAAGAAATTTCGGGGATCATCACGACAGCTCGCGACAACGCACGTGCAAAGATGGGCTGACTTCTGTGCGAATTTCGGTTTTTAATGGCTCGGTTTTGTTGAGGAGCGCGAAGGTTCTGGCTGAACAGAATCCCACCGCCAACATTTCCGACGGCGAGTTCAAATGGTGACGCCTTTGCGATATACATGGCATGTATCGTATTAGACAATCTCCAATACGGTGGCACACTGATATATATGTACATAGATTTGGTCACTGTTCATATCTCGACATTTCTTTCTCCCGCCGCAACGAGTCTTTGCGAGCGATTCCTTCTCCGGGGCACGCAGGAGGCTCGTCGGTACATTGTTAAAGCTCGTGCCCGGAGCTCGGCAGGCCACCGTGGCGCATGTGGTTGACGCTCAAAGTCGCGAAAACTGGCTCAATACCTAGGGGACGCGTTCCGCGACGACAAAGCCTGCCGAACCAATTCGGAAACCTCTCTGCTACATACCACTCGCTGGGAGATATTTCCCCCGTAGGTTTTGACGATACCACATCACCATCAACAACATACGTACTCCGATTTTTTTCGAGTGGCTGTGGGCCACGTCACGGTTACCACAGCAGCATCAACAACGTAATACGCGACGTATGTATGCATCTGCATCAACAGTCCTCCTTCTCGGGGCTGATCATCGTGTGTAGAATTATGTGCCTCAGTTGATGAACCTACAACATGGGCAAGCCCGATTTCTATCTGAGACTGTTTTCTGTGGATAAATATGGATTCGTTGTGTCACATTAAAAGAAAGAAAACGACGCCGAAAACCAAATCTACACCAAACCAACAAATTAATCTGCCGGGCAATACAAAAAGTCGATCGTAAAGGCCGTCATGCCAAGCCAAATTAACTCGATGCCCAATAGCAAGGAACGTTTGCCTCTAAGTAAAAAAAATTGGTTGAAAACACTACTGCAGTACAGCTGAACTCTAGGCACGAACCTTAGATGGAGAAAAACGAACAAAACCCCAACCTCATCAACCCGAAGTCAAACAAATATCGGCCCCGTCTTCCCTGGTACCCCTGACACCGTATCGAACAGAAATCCGCTTTCCACCGAAGTGGTTAGGCTAAAGCTTTATCCTTCGTATAATGCCAGGAAGTGTTCATGAACAACTTTTATTTCAGACAAGATCATCAAAGACGACGAAAACATGCCAGATGTTGTTCCCGTCGAATACCTCAATATCATTAACGTCCCCGGCACGCCACCGCACAAACTCAACCTCAAAGAAAGTTGGAGCATTGATCTTCTTCATCAGGAACATTAACTTTGATTGCGATCTCATCAATGGCGAACGGGAAGAATGTAATCGAGGAATATTTCAAGGCGCGTTATTGACGTTAAAGTTCTCTCCGATGAATCTTCTATCATCGATAAAACACCACGCATTTGCGTCGACGTCAAAGTGGGAGCGTGTGGTATTACCTTGCGCCGTTACCGATTCCCTGTCATGTTGTAATACGCTATGACCATCCAATAGTCGGCCTGGCCAAACTTAACAAAAAGTCGGCCTCGATCTCAGGGGATTGGTCTCCTGCCAAGGTCAGTTGTATGTTGCCATGAGCCGTATAACATGCCGGGACAATATCCTATGCCACGTTGAACATGGATCATCTCGTCAACGACGTCCCCCACGTGCGTGGTATTCATCTGGTCAACCTCCCCCTACTATTTTTGACATTCAACTACTTCGTCGCCATGGCCAAGGAGAAGGATGCAACCATGGCAACAGCACATCGCCCAATGATGGCGACAACGGTGGTGCGGACAACAAAAACGGCAGCAACGTCAACAACGGGAACAATAATAACTAAGGATCTCCGCAAACAGTCAATGAAATCGGTGATGGGGAATGCCTACGAAGATGCATTGCCCGTCGAGTTTTCAACGACACCAACATGCACCATCTGGTCAGAAGGCAACTAATCGACCACATCAACGGCAACCTCCATAACCCCTTACCAGGCACTGGACAAAACACTTGGTTTTACGACTCCATATTTGCTGGAATCAATTCGGAGAACATTCAAACAGCTGGTCAACCTGAATAACCCTACCAAAGCACCTCCATCTCATGTCTGTTCCTACTGCCTATGCTACAAATGTCGAGATTGTAGCTACCCAACAGCCAATTTAAAAATAACAATTACCGTCGTCGGTCAACCCTTTCAACCTCCTCCGTACCATGATACACACATGCGATGTATTGTACGGGGGCGAGCACTACCGAACATTCTGATATACAGAACGGGCCCGGAGACAAGAAACGTCAAAATCAGGTCGAGCCTCGATTTCTCATTTTGGGCAGAAGGATCGGCTAAAGTCGGCCCAATTTCTCAATACGGATTTTTATTCTTTTGGGCTGTTGCATCGTGCTGATTTCTTGTTTTCTTATCTCCTTATTCCTGGCGAAGAAAACAACACACCAGCACAGCGACAGTGGCTGGTGGGTATAGCGCCGGCTGCCACGGAGGCGCGGGGGCGCGGGGGCCGCCGCGAAAATATCCTCCTCTCCCCCCTTCCAGAGGACGTATGGAAGGGGCTCGACATCGACGAACACGGAACGCTGGAAACGGAGGGTCTACAGGAGTTCAAGGAGCAGACATCTGTTGCTTGTGCCGAGAGAGAAGAAAAGAATCTAAGGAAAGTAACCAAGGATAAGGAGGATCTGCAAGTGTACGGAATGTTGAAGGAAGGAACAGGGTTCAAGGATCGCCTACATGGACCAATGGATGCAGGAGCAGAGCTTAAGGTCAAATTCAGGACCAGGGACATAGGCCTTCGAGAACGTCGACGAAGACATAGGACGGTAGACGACGAAGACGACGAGTTCAAATGTGATTGCGGCTTCGAATTCGAAGACCGTGTTCATGTAGTCGCGGAATGTCCGTGGTACAAGAAGGAGAGGGAAGTGTACGTGACTGAGCTAGGAAAAATAGATGGGACGAACAGGGAGATGTTTGAGGCATGGAATAGAGCGGAAAGGACAGTAGCTGCACTGGGGCATAGGAGATGGGTTGAAAAGGCGGGAAGGGATATCGTTAGGATAGGCAGACTAGGGAAGACGTATTTGAGCCACCTTTGGCACAGTAGAAAGGAACGATTGGCCATCGGTGATCGGTCCTGTGGAAACAATGCTCCGTCCTTTCTAGGACGCGTGGTCAATGGTCTAACCGCTAAGGCATGCAAAACCTAAGAGTAACCCCCCCCCCCCTCCCCCCCGGTGTTTGCCATCGGGGTTGGGTTTCCGTCGCTTGGCAACGACGTTGTAAAACAAGCCGCCCCCCCC